CAGACTTTGAGTGATAGCAATTTAGCAATAGATGCCCAATCATAAAACACTATTCCTGAAGATGAATACCTAGAATGTGATAATGGTAGACATTAATATTTCTGATCTTTAAACAAAAGAATACCTGAAAGCAAAAATAAAAATCTAATCATATTATTCCATACTTTATTTAGTCTTAAAAAAATTACATGTGACCTATGCATGTCCTTGCATGAGTTTTTCCCATGGGTGTAGATTCAGAAGGAGACCACAGGTTGATTTCAAGTGTCTTCTGAAGTCCCATTTGTCAATTCTCGTTCTTAGAGCATATGCCATTGGAGTTTGTTCAGGAACTTTTCCCCTGTGCCCAAGTATTCGAGGTTCTTCCCCACCTTCTCTTCTATTAGTTTTAGTGTATCATGTTTTATGTGGAGGTCCAGAAATTATCATCCTGAGTGAGGTAAGCCAATCACAAAAGAACACACATGGTATTCACTCACTGATTATTGGATATTAGCCCAGAACCTTGAAATGCCCAAGATTCAACTCACAGGCCACATGAAGCTCATAAAGAAGGAAGACCAAGTGGGGGTGATTCGGTCCTTCTTAGAAGGAGCAACAAAGTACTCAAGGGAGCAAATATGGAGACAAAGTGAGGGACAGAAACTGAAGGAAGGGCCTTCTGAAGACCACTCCACCTGAGTATCTATCCCACGTGCAATCACCAAAGGTAGATGCTGATGTGGAAGTCAGGAAGTGCATGCTGATAAGAGTCTGATATGGATATCTCCTCAGAGGTCTTCAAGAGTCTGACATACTCAGAGGCAGATGCTCACAACTAGCCATTGAACTGATCATGGGGTTCTCAATAGAGGAGTTAGAGTGAAGACTGAAGGAGCTGAAAGGATTTGAGGCACCATGAGGAGAGCAACAATACCAACCAACCACAGCTCCCAGGGTCTAAACCACCATCCTGGGAGCACTTAGGGAGGGATCCAGGGCTTCAGCTGAATATGTAAGAGTGGAGGGCCCTGCTGGGCATAGGTGGAAGAAGAGAACCTTGACCTCATGAAGGCTGGATGCCCCAGGGGGTGGGAATTTTGAGGGTAGGGAGGTGGGAGTGGGGGGGGGTAGATAGAGGTTACATCCACAGAGGAGAAGGAGGAGGGGTGAGGGGATTGGGGGTTCCTGGGTGGGTGGGGGATGGGGTAAGGGGACAACATAGGAAATGTAAATAAAACATCCAATAAAAAAAAGAAAAGAAAAAAAAGAAAAAAAAAGTGTCTTCTGCCTTCACTCTTCACCTTATTGTTTCAGACATGATCTCTCACTGAACTTGGAAGCCTCATTTTGACTAGACTGACTAGCTAGTGAGCCTCCAGGATCCACTGCTCTCTGCCCCCCACCCAGTGTTGAAGTTATAGAATACCCCACTGCTTCCCCCCCACACTTTAGTAGGTATGGAGACTGAAGTTCAGGGTCTCAGACTTACATAGAAATCACTTACCACTTTACTAACTGAACCACCTTTCCAGCCCTAAATATATTTTTATATAAGTAATGCTCAGTGATTCAGCTTGAGTGATGTGGAATCAAAGGATTCCACCCCAGCAGGGCTGGTCCTATACTGGTTTTGTAGAACATGATCAATGTGACAGGATCTCAAATCTAGTGCTGCCTCAGAGTTAACCTAGTTCTGTACAATGATATATTGGGGGGGGGGGAGGACTCAACACCAGTTCTATGGAATCAGATTATCTTTGTGAAATGGTTGACCACTTACTGCCATCATGGATTACCTAGATAACTCTATAGCTATCTGTCTAGTCTTAGCCAGGGTGGTAAGGTTATATGTACGTGAACCAGAGAAGCAGTTCTGGGTTTCTCAAACTTCAGAGGACATATGAACAGTGGAAGATCTCATTAAAAATATGATTTGGTTCAACTGGCCCTGAGTGGGGTCTGAGCATTTGCCCTTATTATAAATTCCCAGGTGAGATCTCTCCTGGTTTTTAGTAGTAAGGACCTTGGTGGCATAGAAAAAGACTCAAATCTCCCTTCAAAAATAGGTGATAGATTTCAATGATGAATAACCTGGGGACTTAATTACATCAGAAGGAATTATCACAAAACATCTCATTTTAATCCTATTTAATGAGAGCTTGGCTAAAGGTCATGAATTTTTGGTGCCAAATGATACACTGGGTAATAGAATTAAAGGGAAGCTTCCAGAATTCACTGATGTTTGTTTCCAATACAAAAGAGCACCCAAGGACAACCAGAGTACATCAGACATATTTATTTTTCTGTGGCTACATTCCCATTTAATGCTAAAAATTATATAGTGATTTACATGCACACACACACACACACACACACGAAAATGATACTACCACAGTGACAGAACAGTGGAAATATATGCTTCTCAAGAATGATTATTTACTGTTCATTTCTATGTTACTGAATGAAGGTCTGAAAATGAATGCTTTTTGAAACAGGATAAGCAGCATCTCTTACAGTACATTTCATGGCTTTACTGAGTATCCCACTGATACAGTAAGAGCCTGTCTCATTTCCTTCCCCCGTGTGATATGTTATAGTTGAAACTAGGATACCATATGGTAAGTCTAAAATGCTCAGTAGGTCTGGTAGCTTTTGGTTATTCTGCCAGCTTTTAGGTGGCATTCAGGTTATAAAAAAGCATGAGAAAATTGTAACTACAGCCTGCCTTGGAAGTTTCTCAATGGAAGGGAGATTTGATCAGATAATCATCAACTCTACTGGACAAAATAGATAGATGTCTGACATGTTCCCTCACAACCTTCAAGATGTTCTTTGTTGTTTTCTTGAAAATTTCCAGGCTGCACCTGTCTTGCTCACAGTATTACTGTGTGCATGGCTTCTAATAGAACCCATAATGAGAATATTTATTTCCTTGTCTTTCACACTCAAGACTGTCAAGAATGTCAGAACAGCTCAAGGATGTAGATTTCAGAGATGCTGACTGCTGTCAATGGAGACAGACATATTTCAGAAGTCTATGGCAATTTTTAATAGCATTCTCTGTGGGAAGAGGAAAGGAGTTAGGCACCTCATCAGCAGACAACATAGCCCCCTCGCTTCACCATGTTGTGTCCTTTCCAGTGCTACCATTATACCAGGGAAGAGGAACACTTTGAAAATATATCTCAATGATAAATCATTGGAGGCGCTGTCATGTTTCTGAAGCTTAATACTGTGAAGGTGCTCATAGAAAAATTAGCAAAACTCTCATCTTTATTTTAATCAGATTACATATTTATAAGTGCTAATCTGTACATATTTTACCAGAATCAAAATACATTTTGATAGTTAACTGGTTTCCCTTAAAAACGATAGGCCCCAACAATGCAAACACACTTCATAACGACATTCATTAGCTTTCAGTTATTGAGTTATAATTATGAAATAATGTGACTAAAAGGGGTCAGGGAGGTTTATTGTAAATTTTTCCCTGATAAGACAGGAGGAGTGAGGCCTCAAAATTTCAAAATATTTGCACAATTGAAGGTAATGATCTGAATCAGAATCAGAAATAGTCCTTGTGTCTCTGAGTTTAGCACTTCTGATTTTATTTGTAAGGAAGTGAATTACTAAGGAACAACCTCCTTTCAAATGCACAAGCCCCAGAAACCCTAGCAATCCCATATCTCAGACAGACTTGATTTGTTGCTTTCTGTCAAGCAGTGTGCTTGTTCTCAAACTCCAAGCTTTCAAGCCTTTTCACTAATTGTTTCCTCTGCTGGAAATGTTAAGTGTGACATTCGATTCAAAAGGAAGTTACAGAGGTGAGGCTTGTCTCGGTTACTGAGTTTATCAAACAAGCCACCATAGAGCTGCTGGGACTCGAACTGTGTTCTCTGTCTGAGCATCTGGTGCTCTTACCTGCCCAGCCAGCTTTCCAGCCACTGAGTTTATCAATTTTGTCATTGAAAACTCAGCAGTTAAGAGCCTTGGCTGCTCTTGAAGGGGACCCAGGTTTGAATCTCAGCACCTACATGATAGCTTACAAAAATGTGTAACTTTAATTCTGGGAACCTGATATCAAGTTTTGATATCAGGAACTAGATATATGTATGCATGCATACATACATTCAGACAAAATAATCATACATAAAATATCCTTTGTGAAATTCTAGTAAGTATCACTACTTAACCCTGAATGTGTAATAACTTTTGCCTTGTATTTTTCAGTTATTATTCTTTGTGAATATAACCATGATATCTCAGGGAATGAGGTGACTACTTAAAATACTTGATTTCTTAGTGTTTTATGCCCCTAGATGGGATTAACTAGAGTAATATATGAACTGCTTTCTTTAGTTCTTAACTGCTATAGCAAATCATTACACCTGACTTAGGAGTAGTTGGCTTGAAACACTAGAGATTAGGAAGTTAGCTGCTTCTGGCCCTAAAGGTTGAGTAGCCTTCTGTATCTGAGCCTTTTTATTTATGGGGTCTGATGCTAACTCTAGGCAGTTGTATCTATGGATACCAAATGGAATAAAATCACTGCATAGCCAGCTGGTATCCAGAATTCTGGAGAATTGCTTGTTGGTATAGAAAATCAAAACACACATATTTAGTTTCACAAGCTTAATGTGAATAGTCCATAGATCTCTTCCCAGACACAGAATAGGAGAAAATGACCTAGCACCATCTTTTCCTTTAAATATACTCAGACATAACAGATACTGATAGTTTAACTACTTCACCTGACCAAATGAGAGGATTCTGACTCTGACAGACTTGAACATCTTTTCCTTTGTGTCAGGCACATGGTGACATGGGACATTTCTACAGTCTTATATTTTCCTGTTCTAATTATATGAAGAATTCACAACAGCTCTTACTCTACCTAGAAGGACTATGGGAATCACTATAAATGACATTGTCCCCTCAGTTGGTGTCAAGAGAGAAAATATTCTGCAAGAAAAATATCAGCCTGTGAAGTGTGCTCATGTAGACATATTTATATGTACCTCCAGAATGGGGTGGCGGGCCGCACAGAAGTACCATTCCTTGACCTCGACGGACTGACACTGTGCTTCTTGTTCTTGTCTTAAAGTTTTCAAGATCTGTTGGGAGAAATGAAGGAAAATACATTTAAGCTTTACAACTCTAAGATACCATGGGACACTATGACCATTTCCAAAACGGTACTTGTGCTGAAAAAATATTTCGGATTTCACTTATACCAGGGAAATTCTGATTAACTGATACTGAAACTCTTATCAGTATTTTCCCTTACTCCTGTATTCCATTGCTAAATTGTCCAATAAAACAGACACTTTCTATTTGTGTCTAATCAGACTCAGAATAACTAAAATTAAATGTGTAATTTAGTTCTTCAGATAACACTAGTCAATTTTTGAGTACTCAATAACCACATATCACATTATTCAATGCACATAAAAACTTCTCTCATTCTAGAAAACTCTACTAGATATTACCAAGTTAAGTAAAGAAACTGAAATTTATGTGACCTCCTGTAGTTAAGTGTCATTGTTATTATAAAACTTCTTGTTTCTGTTCATTTCATTTCACAAATCTATTTTATGCAATGACCATTCTCTCTCTCTCTCCTTCCCCCCTCTCTCTCTCCTCTCTCTCTCAACTCTATCTATCTATCTATCTATCTATCTATCTATCTATCTATCATCTATCTATCTATCATCTATCTACCTATCATCTAATCTATCCATCCATTCATCCATCCATCCATCCATCCATCCCATCCCATCACGTATCTATCTATCTATCTATCTATCTATCTATCTATCTATCTATCTATGTATCTATCTATGTATCTATGTATCTATCTATCTATCTATCATCTATCTATCTATCTATCTATCTATCTATCTATCTATCTATCATGTCTGTGCACGTGTGCACATCCACGTGCATGTGTGTATGTGTGTGTGTATGTGTGTGTGCAGATCTTAACCCCTCACATTGATGCTTAAAGTTACAGTCCTGAGATACAATCCAAGCTGGCCCTGAATTCACAATCTGAAACACTCTATCCTTATGCTACACTCTTCCAGGTGCTAGGATTACTGGACTTTATTCTTCTATGTACATATTACATGTATATGTATGTATATGTGTACATGTATGTGTATATGTATTTATAAGTACAGTATACACAGATATATTTAGAATCAAAACAGATCATTTTTAATTCTTATCTGTTTTTAAATATTGAAAAGTGGGTAATTATCATTCTTCTTTGGAGAAACTTTTACTTATTCAAGGAAGAAAGGGAAGACATTTATAGTCCAAAGGTTTCAACTAGAAGAAACAAAAAACTAGTAGCAAATAAATAGAGTGATATAAAATGCAGGTAATAAAGTGGAAGCTGGTTTTCCACAGAGTATTTTCACCTCCTACATCACCAATATAAATTCTCATAATAATGAAGGATAATAATAATGAATAATAGAAGGATTCATTATGTCATTTTTCCCTCCTGTCCTAATTATTCAATCTGAAACTCAATTATGGACTTAAGCCTTTTCTGACTCATGTATGTCCTACAAGGTTACAAGTTATGTAGTTGCACCTACTGGGATAGAAGAAAATGGATTGCTCCATTTGAAATTTGAATTGAGAGATGAACAGCAATTATATAACAATCATATGAGCTCAGTATCATTGCTGTTTATACTTGCTATGAAACCTACTAAGGCTGATAACACTTGTGAGTGATAGGGCCACATGAGCCTGAACAACCTTTCCACAGTCCCAAATTGATGTGCTTCACACCCAGTTTAGTTTCAGGGAAAGTTTTGGATACATTAAAAGCTATACACAATCTTGTCTTCACATACCTTATTCTAAGATTGGGTAAAGCTTATGCCTATACAGGGTTTTATTATTGTTGTTATTTTTAGACAAGTTTCACTTGGTACCTTCAGAATGCAAATACTTTGAGAGGGAGGGTTCTGCCTTATGCTGGCTCAAAATCTGTCAATTCCTTCAATGCAAAGACTATCATAGTGAAAGGGGAAGGTGGATTAAATGTAGGAGACATACTATCTGCACAAACACGCTAGAATCCAAATTTACATTTATGATGTAATGTACATCTTTTCATTCAAAAGTGTCTTAGCAACTTTTCTATTGCCATAATAGATCATTATGACAAATTCATTTATTAAAGAAAGTGTTTAATTTGGGGCTCATTGTTCTAGAGGGTTAGAGTGTATTACCACTATGGCAGGGATTGTGGCAGGAAGCAGGCATGGAGTCATGCAACTTCAGTAGTAACTGAGAGTCTTCATTGTTGTACTGGCTGATTTTGGGTGTCAACTTCACACAACCTGAAGTTATCACACAGAAAGGCACCTCCCTTGTGGAAATGCCTCCATGAGATCCAACTAAAGGCATTTTCTCAATTAATGATCAAGGGTAGGAGGGCCTATTGTGGGTGGTGCCATCCTTGGGCTGGTAGTCCTGGGTTCTATTAGATGAGCAACCAGGGGAAGCAAGCCCATAAGTAACATCCCTCTATGGCCTCTGCATCAGCTCCTGCTTCCTGACCTGCTTGAGTTCCAGTCCTGACTTCCTGTGGTGATGAACAGCAATGTGGAAGTGTAAGCTGAATAAATCTTTTCCTCCCCAACTTGCTTTTTGGCCATGATTTTAGTGCTGGAATAGAAACCCTGACTAAGACAATTGTGATCCACAAGCAGGAGGAAGAGGGCAGATCCACTACAGTGCAAATTGTGTTGACTATGGATATCAGTCTCTAGTCTTCCCTTGGCTTCCACTATGGATAACTACTTTATGTAGAACTTGAAATATTGGGTACAAAGAATGAAACTAAAGGAAGACGAGGAGGAAGAGAAAAAGGAGGATCAGGATCAGGAAGAACAGGAAGAGCATGAGGAGGAGGAAGAGAAGGAGGAGGAGAATCAGAAACACCTCTAGTAAGAAAAAAAGGATATTGCCCTGTTAGGAGAGTAACTGACCTATTCTTTTTAAGCTATCTCTTTAACTCATGCATTTGATCATGAAAATAACAGCTGAATATAATATATAATATATGACAATTAATATCCATGTACCACAGTTTCTTTTTTTGTTTTTTGTTTTTGTTTTTGTTTTGTTTTGTTTTGTTTTTTTATTGGATGTTTTATTTACATTTCATATGTTGTCCCCTTACCCCATCCCCGACCCACCCACCCACCCACCCACCCACCTACCCAGGAATCCCCTATCCCCTCACTCCTCCTCCTGCTTCTCTGCTGATGTACCCCTACCTATCCCCCACTACCACCTTCCCACCCTCCAATTCCCACCCCCTGGGGCGTCCAGCCTTCATTGAGGCCATGGATCTCTTCTCCCACCTATGCCCAGCAGGGCCCTTGGCTCTTATGTATACAGCTGAAGCCATGGATCCCTCCCTAAGTGCTCCCAGGATGGTGGTTTAGACCCTGGGAGCTGTGGTTGGTTGGCATTGTTGCTCTCCTCATGGGGCCACAAACCCTTTCAGCTCCAATGGTCTTCACTCTAACTCCTCCATTGGGAACCCCATTATCAGTTCAATGGCTAGTTGTGAGCATCTGCCTCTGAATATGTCAGACTCTTGCAGACCTCTGAGGAGACATCCATATCAGGCTCTTATCAGCATGCACTTCCTGACTTCCACATCAGCATCTACCTTTGGTGACTGCACATGGGATGGATACTCAGGTGGAACGGTCTTCAGACAGCCCCTCCTTCAGTTTCTGTCACTCACTTTGTCTCCATATTTGCTCCCTTGAGTATTTTGTTGCTCCTTCTAAGAAGGACCGAATCACCCCCACTTGGTCTTCCTTCTTCATGAGCTTCATGTGGCCTGTGAGTTGAATCTTGGGCATTTCAAGGTTCTGGGCTAATATCCAATAATCAGTGAGTGAATACCATGTGTGTTCTTTTGTGATTGGCTTACCTCACTCAGGATGATAATTTCTAGTTTCATCCATTTACCTAGGAAATTCTGAAATTCATTGTTTTTAATAGCTGAGTAATACTCCATTGTGTAAATGTACCACATTTTTTGAATGCATTCCTCAGTTGAAGGACATCTGGGTTCTTTCCAGCTCCCGGCTATTATAAATAAGGCTGCTATGAACGTAGTTGAGCATATGTCCTTGTTATATGTTCCAGCATCTTCTGGGTATATACCTAGGAGTGATATAGCTGGATCCTCAGGTAATGCTATGTTCAATTTTCAGAGGAACCGCCAGACTGATTTCTAAAGTGGTTGCACCATCCCACAGTTTCTTAAAACAGTATCATTTCTAGCATTACCTATGGCTCATTGATATACAATTCACAGACCGTAAAAATGACTACCTCTCGTTTTGTGGTGACTTCATTTGTTACTATTTTACATAAAACTTTCATAAGTAATGGGCTGGGGGATGAACACTTTTATGGTAGATATGTTTTCAAATCATATTTTTACTGCCAAGTATCTACTCTTTATTCTCTTGTAAAATGTCCTATTGATATCTTATTTTTTCATCAAATTGGGAAATGTGCTCCAGCATTTGGAATGAGCTAGCTCATCAAGGGGACAAAAGGGACTTGGCAGTTAAATTCCTGTAAGAATGATGGGCACAAAGGCCTTAAAATTGCAACATGCAATCACTAATAAACTTAGAACATAAAAGCATTCAGAATTCAAACCACAGTGTGAATCAGAGAGTAAGATAGAAAACATCTAAATATTTCCTGTCTAGAAAGTTATTAAATGTTGAGAGCTGGTAAAAAAAAAAAAAAGTAGCTTCCCATAAATACTTGGAAATGTTTCAGAGCTAATAAAAGAAACATGATCCAAGATTTTTTTTTGTGAGAAATAATAACATTGACTAAGAAAAAGCAATTTATTTAAGCCCCCATTAAGAGACCAGCCTTGGCACATGTGGGCAGGAAGGACTGGTGCTGTCTGCAAGCTGGCACCTCCCAGAGGAGCATATAAAAATTTGAGTTGTAAAATGACCAGGAAAGGTTAATGGGATAGTAACACACATCATGGTGTGCTATAAGTCCACAGAAAAAAGGGACAAAATGAAGAATAAAA